TTATATATATGTACGTAGTATATTTATTATGTATATATATATGTGTGTGTGTGTGTGTGTGTGTGTGCGTGTGTGTGTGTGTGTGTGTGTGTGTGTGTGTGTGTTTATGTGTGGGCGGGTGTGGGTGTGGGTGCGGGTGTTTGTTTGTTGGTTTTAAATAATATTAATACAATCCAAGTTCATGATTTAATGGCGTCTGCTATGTGGCTCGTGGGTGTACGACATGGGTGAAACATAAGTTGCACTTGCCAGGTCCACTTATGTCTGTGTGTGCGTGTTGCGGATGTCTTGTGGATACCAGTACGTTCTGGACTAAACCCTAAAGTCAGTTGCAGCTTCTGCTATCGCTTGAAGTCGTACGATAAGGGTGAGCCATAAGGCACATTTACCAAGTCTACTTCTGTGCATGTGTGTGATATGTATGTCCTTGTGCTGTCACTACATTGCGGGTTTTGCGTTTAGCGTTTATTTGATACCTGGTCACTTTATCCTCTGAGACGGCTCTTGTGGATGTACGCGGTGTCTGGAGTATGAGTAGCGTTTGTCATGTCTAATAATGTCTTACTGCGTAGTTGTGTGTTGGTGATTGTCGTTAACTTTGGGGCTGACTCACAATCAGATGCTTCGCGTGTAGAACCTCAGCCGCAGTTTGTCATGTCCAAACCTTCAACCTCTATGAAGGGCCTTGGTTGCATGGGGTGTGTGCCGAGACTATGTCGAATACATGTGAATATGTTTCACATTCAAACTTGTACGGAGGAGTGGGGTGTCATTGCGATTGTCATGTGTATTTTCGAGGCTGCGTGTGTCTTATCTGTCAATGTCCATCATCATACGAACAAGCAGTCAATGTGTATATCCACCCCAAACTTCCTCTGGAGATACATATCATGTCATTCTAAGGTGTCATTCAAACGCCCTGTCCGATATATTATATTCTTCTTTCTGTGTACGTGTCTGTGTCTCTATGTCTATTCTCATACCACGTGCTTTAGGTAGGCCCTACCCCGTGCCACTACCTCCACGGCCCCAACCGTTGCATCGCCCACTAGCATACACTGACTAACCACTTGCGCTTCATACAGGTCCCATATGATCCGTATCTGATCTTTGAGGGAGAGGAGGACACTCTCGGCCTACGCTCATACACACACGGCTGGGATATGTACCACACGGCTAAACCCCTGGCGTGGCACTACTACGAACGCCCTCAGTATGTCTGGAGTTCTCTTCTCGAAACTGGTTGGAGTTACTGTGCTGTGTGCGTCTACTTCTCAATGCGCTTGTCATAGTGACATGCTGCTACTGATTCCTAGTTGTGTCTCATCGAGTGTTATAGATTGATGGCCTGCGCCCGTGGACGTGTGCTACAACTGGGCGTGTGTTTCTGTCCGTATTGCGTGAGGATGCACCGTGTTGTTGTGATGGGCACGATGAACAACTGTCGTCTAGTAGACTCACGATTGCCGAGGGATCTAGGTCTATATCCCGATCCAGAAAACTATACGACCAAAATATTCTGATAAAACACATCTCAGCACACCTTCTGTTCAGTACCTTACATTTACCGGCCATAAAGCGTACCCAAACGGCTTCTGCCATAGCAGTCTTTAAAACAGACACACACAAACCCCCTACTGACACACCCGCGTGCAAGTACTTATTTTACTCAATCCCCATCGTGTGTGCAGAGGCTATCGCTTCCCTGCTACGCGCTTCAACACCGACAACTCCGAAGCTCGCCTACGCCGGATTACTGAAGGACCTGGACCAGCCTCCGACTATGTACGGTATCCCGAGGGCTATGATTTCGGACAGTATGGCCTAGGCGCAGACAGGTATGTGCATTCCCGTGCCTGCGATGGCATGTCCATGTGTATGTAGATGTGTGTACTGAGGCCCTGGAATATCATTGAATGTCCAGAGACGGGGTTCCAGAGCCAACCCCGTCTCTGGACAACACTCCTGGAGTGCTATTATTGTGGGCCTTGTGGTTTGAAGGGGAAAGACAGGTACTTTAGTTTGTCCACTATTCACTTACGATTTCAGGGTATATGGTGCTCGGCCTGTCGCCAATGGTTCAGGGTCAGCTTCGGATCGTAGCTTGTACTGAGGGAGTTCACGCTTTAGGACAGTACACAGTTTTTGAGTATGGATAGTTTTGCGGTGCTTCAATCGCTCTGCATGTACAGTTGTGTTATTTATTTTCCGCCTGTTGCGCAAACTCTTGAGTTGGAGGACGGATTGATAAGATCGTTTATTGAAGACTTGGTTATCGATAGTGTTTATACGTAATTCACTTATGAGCCCTTACTACGCCTCCTTGTCCTGTGCAGGGGCTGGGAAGATTACTTCCGGCAATCGGGTATCTTCTGGAATAAGCGATATCTGCACGAAAAGACACGCAAGGGAGACCCCAACATAGTCATCTCGGACGAGGAGTATGAAGAAATTATGAACATGACACCTTGGGCTGTAACGAGGGACTGTGGAGGGCAATCAATGCAGGACTGCTTCAATAGAGGTCGTTGTATCTGTGTGAATGTAAATACATATATATATGTATATATAATGTGTGTGTGTGTGTGTGAAGAGAATTACATACGTGTCTGTAAAGTGATGATGCTCATGACGTTGTGCTGGGTAAACCTGACCATCCAGCGTAATATGTCATCAGGAATTGTCCAGAGCAGCGGGCACATTATTTTCAAAACTGCTTGTACATGCCTGAATGTGCGTATATATTTTTGTTTTTTTTGTAAAATGCGAATCATGTACGCGCGCTTGTTCTCGTGTGTGTGTGTGTGTGTTTGAGATATTGTGATTGTGTACACAGGTGTAGACATGAGGAGTTGGTTATCGCACAGTTGTTGTTTTTTGGTGTGTGTAACTTGCTTCGAATATTACGTACTGCTGTTTTATATGGATAGCTTTGTCTAAGATGTGATCCCAACCCTTGAACCCGCGTCACTGCTAGCCCTAGCATTGATTGTCCTTGGGGTGATGTTTTTGCTTCTCATCAGGATTGCTGCTATGACCGATTTTTACGGCGGTTTGTTTTTTTGTATTTTTTGCTCAGTGTGGTCTACGTGTACCAGTTTGCCACAGATTGCTCACAACCTTTCAGTATTACTCGTTTTCTCATTGAATAACACCCGTGTAATCCTTCACGTACTCAGGGTGTCGGTGGGTGGAAGGTTTCCCCGGCCCTTATTGCCAAGACATGGACCAACCACTCAAAGATTGTGGATTTCCAGGTGTTCAGAAGCATAGTTGCGAAAGTTTGGGGGGTACTTGGGTTCCCGATTCACCCGGACCTGATTGTCAGTACGGAGTACCGAAATTTCCTGGAGATCAGGCCGATCGAGCTGGAGAACTCTAGGTTGTAGCTGCTGTTGACCACCTAGGACTGTATATAAGTCGCAAGTCTGTTACCGGTTGACTTTGTGAAGGATTATTTTATATGTAGGAACATTTTAAATGGCATATAGCCGAATGTATGCTCGTTGAGCTATTATATCGTGTTTAAAAATCCACACTTGCATAGAACATGCGGAATCATAAAAGTCGTCCAAAAGATCCTAGATTACACTTTTAACCATATATATTATTTACCCTGAACATTTTAATGTCCAAAAACCATATAAACCTTCTAAATTGAATGAAATAAATTTCCTCAATTTTGTGTGATCTTCAATTTTGTTTGATTTCAGAAGGCTATGTCAATTCCCAAAAAAAATTAAAAAGTGCATAGCCGCATACCATAGCCTTTTTGTACAATTTAGAATTAGAAGGCTATGCGGATAGCCGGATACCCTCCATTTTTGTTTGTATATTTATAGACAATTTTAAAGACAGTATAAATCTTATTTCTGAAGAAGTGTCTCTATTATATTTTGGTGTCAAATATATATAATAATAATAACATTAAATATATTCTGGTGTGTTTGTATAAATGTAAATAAGTTTTTGTAAACTTAGTTTACCGATAAGCTGAATCGTAAACATGTCAGTGAAGTGTCATAAGTGAATTGCGAAGAAATTCAAGCTGAGGTCGAGGGAGAGACTTGGTGAGGAGATCGGCAAGGTTATCGTTAGTGTTGATGTATATGATATTTATAATGTTATTGCGAACACAATCGCGAATATAGTGTGTGCGTATATCTATGTGTTTCAACCCTTTAGGGGTGCCAGTACCTTGCGCAACCTTAATTGCGCTTTGGTTATCGCAGTGTAGAGTTGTAGGTAGTGTAAGTGTGTGACCCATGGCATGAAGAATGTTACGAGCCCACGCAATGTGGCGGACGGTCTCGGAGGCGGCAACAAACTCCGCTTCTGTGGAGCTAGTTGCAACGGTCTTCTGCTTGGCACTTTTCCAAAATATAGGGGCGTTATTAAAGCAAATAACAATACCTGTTTGTGAGAGGCGATTGGCATAATCGTAGGCCCAATCAGAGTCGGTGGAAGCCGTCAGGGCCGAGTCAATGGTTTGGCCGACTGTTTTGCGACGGTATGTATTCTTGAATGTCTTTGTAGCCTTGAGGTATTGTAGTATTCGTTGGAGGGCTACCATGTGTTCTGTGGTTGGCTTAGTGGCGAAAGCAGCAAGCTGATTGAGCGTAGCAGCAATGTCTACGCTAGTTAAATTGGGGGCAAACCCGAGCGCACCAAGAAGTTGGCGGAAGTCACGTCCGGTGTATGGGGCCGCGTTGGAATCAGCAGGGTGGTGAGTAGTACCTGGAGTATGTTTCGGTATAGCGTCATGTAGTTGGAACGAGTCAAGCATGTGGTCAATGTATGCCTGTTGGTCGATTTCGATGCGGTCAGTATGTTGTTTGATCCGCAGGCCAACCAAAAGACGAACTCTGCCAAGGTTTTTCATCGAGTAAAATTTAGAAAGTTTAGAGTAAATAACCATTTTTCTTTCCCTGAGTCCCGCTGCACGGCGGGAACAATCTCGTCCACATAAAGAACGACAATTATGTGATGGATGGGGTGGTACCAGATGCTTTCGTCCGCGTCACTTTGTTGGAAACCAACAGATTTGAAACGTTTGGCTATGTCTAAATTCCATAACCGGCCGACTTGTATAAGGCCATAAAGGCCACGTTTGAGTTTGAGTAGAGTATTAGGGGGGTAAAAGCCAAGTTCGACGGCACAATGTGGTGAGTGCATGTAGACGGGTGTGTCGAGATATGAATTTAGGTAAGCTGTATCAACATCATAATGAAACACATCTAAATCATTGAATGCCGCCTGGGCAAGAAATATTCTGAGTGTAGTAGACGTGGCGGCAGGGGTGTAGGTGTCGAAAAACAAGTCACCTTCGATCTGTTGATCGCCCCGGGCGACCATGCGTGCTTTGAAAATGGTTTCAATATGCTTACGAGTAAGGACATACCTGGAGTGGATACTACGGGTGCCTTTGGGAATGTGATCAAGTGTGACAATGTCAGCTAAGTTATTCTTGACATGTGCTGAATGTTCGGCATTGATAGCGGTTAGCCACGACGGCCATTCGGGTATTCTCTGTGCTTGCTTTACACTTTTGGGGAGAGCGTGATCGAGGTTGGCGGTAGCTTCAAGTATCGAGCATGGGGAGGTGGTAGTGTGTAGCGAACGTAACGTTGGTCGAATTGGGGTACTAGATTCGTCGGAAAAGTCAAATTCGACATCAGAATGATGGGTGGTGGAGTTGGGCACATGAGGTTCGGGGGCAAAGGCAGCTAAGTTGGGTTCAACCCCGAAATCCTGGCGAGGGTCGTCGACGGTATCCGTAACTGATTCACGATCGGAATGGTGTTGTGCAAAGGTGGAAAGTTGGCTATCATGCGAGACGGTTGGAAGGGAGGCGTTAAGGGACATGTCATCGATCTCACGTTGAGTCTGGCACTCCGTGATATACCGGTTCAAATCCGGGTTCAACGACGTGTAAGTCGTCAATTCCTGGGAAATATCAGAATTGAGATGGGGGAAAACGAGGAAAGAAGTGCTGGCGAGAGGCTGGCCATTGCGGTGAGCGGCAATGGCGTCAGTAATATCGACAATTGATTGTTTAGCAGCGGCGATGGAGTTGGTGAGGGCCTCACGGGCAGAGAGACGGGTTGGGGCGGGAGCAGGGGCAGGTGTTGGGTCAGGAGTCGGGTCTGTGGCCGTAGGAGAGCGTGGGGCAGTACGAGTCGGTCGAGGTGCCTGGAGAATAGTGAGAGGCGATGGTTCGTGGGTCGGAGGGGTCTGCTGTCCGTCATGGGTGGGGGGGCGGGGGGGGGGGGGGGTACCGAACGGAGGGTGGTAAATGGGGTACACAAGAGAGTGGCGCCGTAATAATATATTATAACCTGTAGAGTTTATCCCAATGAGGGATGTGATCTGAGATAAATTTTACATTCCGAGAATTAATCAGGCGTTGGGTGGCGAGGTTGTGTATAAGCCACGTATCCGGTGTACAGTGGGGTGCTCTGCCCATAAGTACACCATGACCGATCTGTGGTTCATACTTGTGTTTGCGCTTGAGGGAAGCACCTTCAATTTTAAAAACTACAATGCATCCGTAGCGGGCGCGCGGAAAACAGGGGACGATGGTCTGATGTCATTTATCCGCCGGGGAGTGGAGGAGTTCATTAGTGGCAAGATTCTCATTCCGAATGAGGTCAGCAAAAGCCTTTGCGCGGCTCAACAAGGTGAGTGTATCATGTGCCCTCTCGACTTTTCCGTTAAGTTGGAGTGTACGAGCAGGCGTACGATTGAGTGCCATGCCTCGATCAAGAAGTATGGTGCGTGTAGCCTCGCTTTGAAACACGCTGTTACCGTCAGCAATAAGCCGGCGGGGCTTATAGTGAGACGTTATTTGGACGAGGTGGGCTTTAATATCATTAGTAATGGTCTTCTTGTTAGGTAAATTACTGTGAATACCAAATTTTGTCCCGTCACACTTTAAGTTGAGAGCGTATTTGCGTCCATATCGATCAAGGGGCATGGGCCCTTGTAGGTCGATATGGAATTGTTCCACCGGCCCATAGATAGAGTCTGATGTAGCGTGCTGTACTGGTTTTCGCTTAAATTTACCCTCGATACATATCCTACAGTGTTTGGGAAATTCTGGATTAGCGCGGACGAATTTGATGGCCGAGCGGAGATCAGCATTAGGGGCGACGGAAGAGTGGAGGGGGCCGAGTTTTTCTGTCCATCGAAGGTTCCCGTAGCATTTCTCGATGATAAAATCTACTTTACGGAAGTCATTGACTTCACCACCTTCCGGGCCAACAGACCTTGTTAGTTGTGAGTTGGTTCGAGATGCACATACATTGATGGTCGGCGTAAAATCAAGGTGGGTCATGGCTGAGGCCCAGTCGTTTTTGTTGAACATCCAATCCTCGGAGGTGACACCGGGAGGAGGGGGGTGTGTCAGTGTCACATTGTCCTTGCGGGCCATGCGGAGTGTAGTTTTTCTACTCCGATGACCGTTGTTGCGATGATATTCATCGTGCGTCATTTTGGTTGGTGGTTGAATATCCCGGGTTGGAAAATTGGGCGGTGATTGATTGGTGGGAGTATTAATTGGGAGAAACGGAGTAGAAAGCGGGGGGGGGGGGGTGATGTCCGTGGCATCCTCGTCAGAAGAATCATCGGTGTCAAAACGAAGTCCAGGCATATCATCATCATCGGAGGCCTCAGGGTCTGAGTCGACAGGGTCGGCATGCGGGGCACGTGTCGATGTGGGTGTCACTGTATTGTGGAGTAATCTAGTGTGTTGTGGGGACTCGGCTAGGGCTTTGAGTCGCGCGTATGTCATAGTATAACCCCCTTTCGTGCGTGGTATAGTTGTCGAACAGTCAGTGGTGAATAGTGCAAATACGGCGGTTATTAGGGAATTCTAGTCGATAACCGTTATCCTCTAGTCTATTTTGCAATACTATTTTTTGGGACAGGGACGGGCTAAGATAAGTAAGGCTGAGTCCGGGGAGAATGCCTCGTTCAGAGACGTGCGTTAAAGAGTCTTCGGCTAAAAGGAGTGGAAATCGACCGTGTTCGACGTTGTGAAGTAATGGACGAGCCGTAGAGTGAAGGTAGTTTACGGTAGTTTACGGTAGCCCCGCCGTCAATCAGTAGGAGTGCGTGAGCATTGGTCATTTGAGAAGAGTCAATATGCAAAGAAATACGGGCAATCACGGCAGGATAATTGGTAGAAGATTTATTTGCTACGCGTTTGGAACAAACCGTCGAAGAATGACTCTTAATAGTGCAAAATTTGTATGTCAATGGTCCTGCGTCGCATGTGGCGTTAATGTGGGATGGGCTGCCACAACGACCACAACCCACAGGGCAGTCACTGGCGAAATGAGTGGTTTTCCAGCAGACGAAAGATGGTGGGGGGTCGCGCGGGATACCAGCCCCACGATCACTATTGTGTGGACGAGTCTTAGCGACGATAAGTTCGAGGGTGTCAAGACGTTTCAGAAGATCAGAATATGATGCAGTGGACGGGGGGCGACGAACGAAAGAGACGGATTCGATGCCAGCGGAGGCGGGGTCGGTTTGTTGCCATTTCTCGATCCACTCACAGATGTAAAGTGGAAAGATGTTGGTGTGGTCAGAATAAAAGTACTTAGGTTTTAGTTGTTTATTTTAGTTATTATAGGTTTTTACAGTTTATCAGAATAATCTGATAAACTTGATTTTTGCTGACTATT